TTCGCTGAATACGCACATCTATTGACATTTCGTCTCATTTTGTTTTCCGTATCCAATTACATTGCACGCCAATTCTGCAGAGTCGAGATTTTAAATGTGCCAATTATACAAAACACAGATCTGCTGTACATTTTTGGTCGCTTAAATGTAGTTTTGAGATGGTTTTCGCGCAAAACTTACAATATTTCACTGTTTCGGCGTCACTTGAAAAATGGCTTTGATGAAAAATCACAAACGAGTTATTGATGAAATTTATGTTCAACATTTGTATAAAATGACGATTATCAATGCTCAATTACGCTGGCATAATGTTGAATTAAGTCGTTTGTCGCTGTCGTCGCTGTGGATGTCGTCGACGTTGTCGGTGATGCAAAATTATGGAAATGACGGTAATGTGCTAGTACGATCGCACATTTTCAATAGAATTAACAGATGTATGGACTCAACATGGTACTCACATCGCAAAAACCCAAATAAAATTCCAACCGATAAATTTTATCATCTCTGTGATGTAGTTGCCGCTTCAAAAGTTCATTTATCTGCTCATGGCTCGTTGTGCGCCTTAAATTAATGTCATACAATGAACAACGAAGTTTGGCGATTTGAATTTATCTAGTTTTCAAGAAGAAAATTTTCCGCTATAATTGTCTCATTGTGTTTGACAGAGATAAGAAGGCTGGAGAGTATAAAAACGACGGATTGAAGTGAATATTTTTCGGATTTACGCGCCGCGGAAGTATTGCCGCTAATCTTTTATTGGTCGTTAGCGTTTGTTCCTCTCTCTCTCTCTCTCTCTCTCACCCATACACCCGCACACAGTGTTGCCCATAGATAACAGTAGCCTACCGATTACCATTATTTTCTTTTGCTTAAAGTCGTTTCCATTGCATATACGCAATGCAAACTAAAGGCTAACTATTATGCAAAACAAAAAAGAAGAAACAAATCACACCGACAAGAAGAGAGAGAAGAACTTGATTTGGAAATAGCCAACGAATTTATGCGAATAAATCCAATATAATTAACAGCAAGGTGAACGCAACAAATTACAAACCGTACGCCTCGCTTAGAATCCAACCGAATGCACTGCAATTTGTTCTAGTAAATTTATTGCAGGAATTAATTGCTGATGAGCTAAGTGCTTTGAACTTCGTTTCATTTGTTAAATACACCCCGAAATGTACTGGAATCATGTGGCAAGAGCGTATGCGAGCGCGAAAGCTACATCTGCTTTATACCAAAATTTATGGATATACGAATTGTGCGCAAAGATGCAGCCAAGGTAATATTTTTCAGCGGCAACCGTTTTTCGACATAATATTTCTTCGAATGAGGAGCATCAAACATATTGTTTGACAGTATTATCTCGATATTATAATCATCATTAGAAAATAAGGAACGAAGAAAAAATGAAGCGTATCTCTTTCTCTGTCGCTAGTTTCAAATGACGTCTTTTTTTTGGCGCAATATGTGGCCCAACAAGCCAACTGTGCATTTATCCGGTGCTCTGAAGTGTTGATTCTAATAATTATGCAAATTCACCAGAAGGTAACACATTTGTTCGGAAAACAGAATTGAAAGAAAAAAAAAATAAGAATATCCCGGCATAATGTAAGCGGGAATAGAATATTCTAGCTGAAAAGGTGATTGAGAAATGGGCTATCTATGTCAAGACCATTATGCCGCCAACGGAAGGGAGTGCAATGATATGGATTGAATCGAAGATGGAAAACATTTGGAATTGAAAAATAGAGCAAATGTTGCCGATTGAATGAAAAGATGTGTTCGACAGAAATTTTATTGAAAATTATATTTAATCGGGATTGAATGGGAGGGATGATGTGATATTCACCCTTGAAATCGTGCAAAAGATAATTTCACAAGTTTTCTCGAAAACTTTTTGCGGCTGGCGTAAGCAAGTGTTGTTCAAACGAACGAACGAACGAACGAAGGAACATTCTACATGAACTAGTTTGACATGTCAATGCTTACACAGTCTAGTTATGGTAATTAATGCTCGAGTCGATCAAGCAAGGAATGTCAAGAATGTGTACGCCATTCCAGTTATCGTTTCAAATTGTTTGAATATTCTCTTTCGACAACTATGCACCATTTATTCGCGCAACTGTGCGATTCAATGTGCGCCTTACAATCGTTCATCACATTTTAAAAATAGAGTTGTTTATTCGCGTCGAATGTATTCGAATTATTATCATGCGTATTAGAGAAAATGGTGAACAATTTTATTTTCAAATAAACGTACAACGTGTGAAATACGCTTATTATGGAACGTGGCTTATCGAACGGAGGATTTTTCTTCTCGCTCATCTTCGTCGTTCGCACAAAACGTTTTCAATTTGGAAACACTATGGATTCGATTGCCCATGAATGTGATGGAGGAGCGCGCATTTGCGCTCGCGACTTTTGGTAAAAACCGTTTTTATTCTCTTTGTTTTATTTTTTGTTGCTTTCTATAGTCATAGAACCCGACAAAGTCATTCTTTTTTTTTTGTTCTGAGTAGTATTTCGAGCCTACGTCATACGCGTATTTTTTCGATCACGCCAAAGAATCCGCATACAGTCCAATACACAAGTGTTTCGCACGTTGTGTTCATGTGTCGTACTTCGTCATTTCGATATTGTTATTTGTTGGTTTTCACCACCGTAAAACGTTATTTTTTGAATCGCAAGCAATTGTTTCAAGAATGTTTACACTTGACTGATTCAGTGCATAATTCCTTGTGTGCCGACTATTTTTGTTGTGGCCTTTTGTATTGGCCCTTTGTAGTTTGCGAATTGAAATCGAAAGAACGAACACAACAATTTTTTCTTCTCGGTTTATCATGGAATTTGTTCTCGGTCTTTTTCTCTTTTTGTGTGTGAGTGTGTGTATGTGTATGTGTTTGGCTTCGACAGTTTAACGCACACGTAATGGCATTCATCCGGTACATATTAGAGCGTATAAGCGAAGCATACCTTTGGAAATAAGTATCAAGTAATAATTACTTATTATCCAGCCACAGAGTCGACTAAAAGCTGAATGATTTTGACGTATTTCATTTTTTTTCGCTCTCTCTCTCTCTCTCTCTCTCTCTCTCTCTCTCTCTCTCTGTAATGAACAAAATACCCATAGCCATGTGTGGCATTGAATATAACGTACAGAAGAGGGAAAAAACTGAAACTAGACGACGACAGAACGAGAGAGAAAATACCATTGCCCAGTTGCTCATACTCTCTTTTTTTCCTGTACGACACGCATCAAAATAGCCATAGGGTATAAAAGATCTCTGCAATTGATACATAAAATTTGAATTTCATTAACATTCATTAGCCCAATATGCTCAGTTTCATTGAGACGAACGGCTATTTATTAAGTTCCCAAACAGAGGAAAAATGAGCAACCGAACGAAAAAGAAGAAGAAAAAAACGCGCGTAAACACACACAAAAACTGGCAACTGCAAAAGTAAAAGAAATTGTAAACAAGCACTCGCTCAAACTCTAGCTGATAGAACGACACATACACCAAAAAAAAAACCCGAAGAAATAACAGAAACGTTGATAGTATTTTAAGTGGCATTTAACCCGTTAACGAAAATATGTGTGGTGTTAGCATCTCAAGTTTATTCTCTCGATTTATGGCCTTCCAATGATAGGATCCGTTTCGTTTGTCACTCACTTTATTTCATATTTTCGCAAATCTTATGGTCAAGTTTGACAGCATTTACCGAAATAAATTCCATCGTATTGTTAACTCACATCGTAATTTATTCGTCAAAATGATCGAAACCGAAAAAAAACACACACATTTTTAGTTCCTGCTGAATAAATTAGAATGGCCAACGATTTAGCTGTTATTGTGGCTTTTTCTATACTATGTTGTATATATGAAGTTTAACTGTCGTTTAATTTTATTTATCCTTTTCGAATTTTTCCGCATTTCAGGGTAATTTTCATCGCTATCACTCTATACAACACGGCCAATAACCGTTAATATAGCCATTTACAATGGAACCGAATAAATTTTCCTGTTTTCGTTTTTTTTTCTCTTCCTTTTCTCACGTACATTTTTGTCCGTTTTGATGTTGCAACCCTTTAGAGCCAACTTGTTGAAGACTTCACACATCGTTGCGTAGCTACAGCATTAATTATAATCGTGAGGCAAACAAGAGTTATTCATCATAATTATGTAAAAGAATTTAATTAGGTAAAAAATAGATTCCGTGTGAAAAGGACTTTGCCGGAAGAACTCATTTGATATTTGGCACCAGCCTACACTCCGTCATACGAAGAGTACTCTTGGTTTGGTTGCTCGTATTAACATTTCAATGATCAGCATCTTTGAAGATTGTTCTAAAAATTATCAAGATGAATTGGGAAGACACTTTCGATTTTTATCTCTCAAACGACTGATGTTGATTTGATAGCTTGAATCGTGAAAATTGAATTGCATTCAGTAGACCGAAGATGCCAACCAACGTGAATAAGATAAGATTTATAACATTGATCAGTTCATAAACATTTCGACTCTTTTCTAAGTAGAAATGTTGTCAGCAATCTGTGTCAAACATTAAATAAAAAATTTATGGATGACTTTGGCACGAATACTGATTATCGCTTTTATTGATTTATGAATGGTTATAATAGCGAGGTGAACAAAGAAATGGAGATGTTTTGTTTTTTTCTTTCTTTGTTGGTTCTACTTACCCATATCAGTGTCATAATTTATGGAATTGGAGCAGTGCATTTCTTAAAATTGGAAGCAATTTGATTATTACCATATTTATTGTTGACAGTCGCTGGTTTTAATTTATTGTGTAGCTTTAATGCAATTTTAGCACAAAAAATGGTTTGTGAAATTGCATTTGCATTATTGTCGATTGTTTTGAAATTGTATGGGAGCAAATTCTGAGAAATGGTCATTCAAATCAGTTTTCTGATAGGAAATTCGCCATATATAAATTGAACACCCGTCCCGATTGTGTGATGTTGTTTAAGTTAGTGCAGCAATCGAGACACATTCTTTAAATAAATTTCTCTCAAAAATGGTTGATTTATTCTGCAGCAGCATCAGCATCAGTTGAATCAAAACATAAGCCGAAGCGAAACCATTTTTTTGGGTGATAATAAAGTCGCAGGTGGGTTTCATCAGTTCAATAATAAGTAATGAAGCTAATTTTTAGCAACATTTTTCATTTGAACGTAATAAAATTACGGTGAATAAATCTGTATTAGCAAAATCGATGGCCGAGTACAATCGGTCGTTTGTCGCCTGGGCATTTTTCTTTAAAATCTTAAAAATTAAAATTCCTCATTGACAATTTGCAGCATCACCCATAAAAAACATGTTCAACAAGAGCTCTGATGCTAATTACACGGTTGAGATTTTTCTCTATTTTGCCTATCTTTTCAACAAATTCAGTAAATTTTTTTTTAAGTATCATTGAAATTTGAAATAAATTAACTGATAGTTTAACCCTCGAATGCATCGATCGCTGTTTGACCTGGCATTTTCGAATTTTAATATTTTTGGAACACATACAAAAAGATTGAAATTATTTTACTTACTTTAGATTGAACTACATGCACTCGAGAGTCAAACTGTATGTTTCGATTTAGTCCCAACAACAATAAACTTATAATTATCATTTATGTTTTTATTAAATTGCAGAGAAGAATTATTTAAAATTTTTAAGAAATCTACGATTTGATAATAAAGAATGTCTACCCATCCAAGCAAATGTCAAAAATCTTGTTGTCGACATCGAATGCCAATATTATCACGAGATTAGCGAAACATAGCACCGGTTTTTTTTACAGCAGCCGATTGAGTGTTACGAACTGTCAAAAACTTTCAATATTTTACATTGTTCAAGTAGATTTGAATTGTTGTTGTTTTAAATAGAAATCACTGACAGTCAAAGAGAAAGAATGTTGTCATTGATTTTGGTTTGAAATAAACACTTTTGCAACTGAAACATCAATTTTGAAAGGATTTTTATCATTAAAAATAATTTATGTTGAAAATGAAATAAAAGCATTGTATTTTGTCTGAATAAATCCTTAAATAAAAACCACCATATATAAGTACCTATGCGATATTTGTTCTTAATATTTTTTCCAAACATCCAACTTTAAAGAAACAGACCCGAGTCAATTTGGATAATTAAATAATAGGAAAATAGATTCAATATCTTAGTTTTGGTCAACATCTTTGTTTGCTGCTAAACTAAATGTGAAACGAAAGAACACACGTCCATCAATTAAATTCAAACTGACCCCCGTCTCTAGAGTAATTGTACATCGGTGGCGGCAGTCCTATTTTACTTCCTGACTGAAAAGGACATCAGTTTAAGTAGAGCAAACATAACAGAAAACGGGAAATTATGTAGCATTTTTAATTGAATGATTATTATCAGAACTAAATGCAAATGAAGAGTGAAATGAATAAAATCAACCAAGTAAAACAATAATGAGGAAAATCAACCACCACTATTGTCGTCGTCATCGTCGTCATTGCCACCACTCATAGCATTTGCTTGTATAAAAACAGGACAGAAATGTGGAAACGACGAAGAAAAAATAGGAATTAATGGAATCAATTTCATGGGAAACAATTAAGCCGGAGCAATAAGAATGTAAAGGAATTATCCAATTGGTGGACACACACACACACAGCACAACGGCCAAATCGGATTTAACATGCTGTGCAAATGTTAAACGAAATATGTTTGGCAACTATTGAATGTACGTACAATTATGGTCGTTTGAAGGGTACTTGAATATATGCCGTTCGACTATAATCCACTTAACTGGACTAATTCCTTTACGCCCAGCTACTGCATTCCATTATTTATATGCAACGTATATTATAATTCGCTAATTAACAGTGTACATTGTTAAGGCCACAAACGGTAAAACGTTGGAAATTTTCCTGATTTTTGCTGATTTATTTCAATAGACCGTTTCACAATTCTTCAAATTTGCCACATCTCAGTAAGTATATTGATGTATTCAAAGAGAGAATTGATGCCACCGTAGGCAAAAAATGAGGACACTCGATATTTGTGGTTCGATAAAATGTTGCCAAATGCTTGAATTGTAAATTGCAGCAGAAAAGGAGATTCAAATTCAAGAGATCTCACGCGGTCAACGCCTTCTAATGTTTTGCGTTGGACGGTTTCTCCTGTGTATGTATATGTGTGATAAAAAAAAAAATCCGCATAATATTTATAGCATTTTATATTGAGTAAATTGAAGAAAAACCGTTTATTTAGTTGTGGTTTTCAGTTTGTTATGGTTGCTGGGGATGTTTTCTTCTCTTTTTTTTGCTTCGTTGAATGATGATGACTTGACTTTTCTGTCTTATCGGTTCTAATACAGAGAGCATCGAGAGAGCGAGAGAGAGCTGCCTTACACCCATTGCGAATAGATGTATCATCGTATAATTTACGGTACACGCGCGTATCCATTCGAAGCATACACATTCTTTGTTATTATTTTTCCAGTAGATTTATGTTAAAAGTCACCAAAAGATGTGCGGTTTTCGCATCTATTTTTTTTTCTCTTATTCGGCAATTGTCTCTGTTGCTACTGCTGCTGTTGAGTTTTGTTCATGTTTTGCTCTGTTCTCTCTTTCTATGTTTCTGCCTCTCGATTTCTCTCTCTCGTTCCCATAAGTATATCCGATGCTGTACAAATATTTTTTTGGGATATTTATAGATGACGTGCAGTGTAAATGTGCACGCAGTTGAGTATGTGGTTGGTGTGTGTGTGTGTGTGTGTGTAACATATTACCATGCACAAGATCAAATATGTCAGGGGGGAGGATGAAACTACTTATAAACTGATAAAAATTATGTGAAAATTATACAAAACAAACAAAACCGTACGTCGAGCAATAAACTAAAAATGAAATATCAGAGACCATAAGAATAAGAGAAAGAGATACTTAAATGCCATACACACAACATTGAAACTGTACTAGATGTTTCTTTCTTTCTTTCTTTTGGTTTGTTTGTTTGTTTGTGTCTTCTTGTTCGCTTTTGCAAACATTTATCATTATATTTTGTGCTCGCATTCCATTCACCATCATCATCATGTTCAGCGCTTCATTTCACCAATCACCAAAGCAGTCAGTGTCTACCGAAGTATTGCATTTTTGGCTTTGCGAAATATCCAAGACAAAGATTCCAAGTGAAGGAGAGGAAAAAAAATTGCCGAAATTATTCATAATTCTTTCATTTTCAATTATTACTTTTGTTCTTTTGTGGCGGTTTTTTTTCTTCGGAGGGCGGATGGCAAGACCATTATTATATCGTTTCTGTGCAGGTCAAAAAAAGTAGAAAATGATTGTGAATGAAACGGATGAGTCACCTTTTTTTCGTTTGTTGGTTCATTTGAAATAGGTGAACATAGCTAGCAAATGCCATTTATGATAAGACCAATTGATATATTCAAACAAAAAGTCAGTCGAAATAATTATGCGATAAGACTCTGTGGAAGTGTTTGCAATCCAAAAATACGCCATAGTGTTATAGTTATAAATATTTTCGTTGTCACGATGAGGCTACCGACATAGATTACACTGCTTATGGCGTTTATCTTTTGTACGGAATGACAATAATAAACGTTCTTAGCAAAAACCAAGCAATGAACCACATATTTATCTCGCAAATAATAGAATAAAAGCACCACTAGACTCACGAGCATAAATAATTTTTCGAGATGTGTTTTGTTGGCTTGGTACGGCACAGCGCGGAGCGTTTCATGAAACATAATATCGTTTCGCCATTTTTCTTGTGATTTGGCTGCAACGAATTTTCGAGGGCAGTGATTTTGACTTGACGATTATATCGTTGCGAGAGGGGTCTGTTTCGTTTGCATTTCAACAATGAATGTTATGGCACTTGACGCCGGCAGACTTTAGCGCTCGCTCGTTCGTTTGCTCTCTCTCTCTTTCTCGCTCTATCTTCCGTCGCGCACATATTTCATATCGTACCAAATTATACAAATAAAGCCAATCATTGTAATTTACTTGTGAAAAATGCTTACGTTTCTTCAGCGTTTTTCTCTTATAATGATAATAACAATAACAGATTTTCTGCAGAATTTTCTGCAACGAGCAAACATTTCGAGCCGCCCTCGTTCGAGCATCTTACATTTCGCCACTACACAGATAACAAAGTCTGTAAATAATTGTTTGTGTGTGTGTGTGTGCGCTCGTTTTTTTTTCTCTCTCGTTCACTGAATGTTTTGCTAGGCGGTCGATGATGCAAGCGGCAAGCCAAATTCGCAATTCCTTTGCAATACGACCGTGTATCTGGTTTTAATGTTCCATGCATCTTTTAATCAGCTATCGTTCTTCTTTTTTCTTGTGCTGTTACTCATTCGAAGTTTTAATTCGCTTACATTTTGCGTCCACCTTAATGATATCTTTTCTCATCCGAAATGTACCTTACTTTTTCCATTCGAAAGAGAAAAAAAACGCACCAAACATTAATTAAAGACAATTTTACACACAAAAAAACGGCGGCGATAACGCAAAAACGACTCGAATACTTTTTGTGTGCGCGAAAAGCCGATTCCGTGTGACAAATTCTCTCATTATTGTAATCGGTGCACGGCCGTTCACTCTTCAGGAACGTTCATTCAAACGTTTGCTAAACGACGAATGCATTCGTTTGCATTTTCTTTGTGCAGACTTAAGACATTCTTTTTTTTCTCTCTCTCTCTATCTCTCTCTCGCTATTCCTTGCCCTCCAATTAACCAAGACTCAAGCGAATGCATTGATGGTGGAACAGCCGATCTCAATGAAAAGAAAGGCAAGTCATCAGCTAGTACGTTCATTGCGCTTCTCTTCTAATATTTTTCGTCTCTTCTTCTTATTCTTCGGTATAATTTCTTTCGTTGACATCTATTTTCGTCAGTGGCAAGAAGAAAGGAACGGGGGAAAAAAGAACAAATTCCCGACGACAGCCATGGAAAAATCAAAGTTTTCTCGTTATGTCATTGACGAGAGAGCAAACAACACAAATCGTCATTAGCGATTCAAATCGTGTATTCAAATCAAGTATTTAAATACGTATTTCTCACAAACGACAACTTTCAGTTCAGATTCATCACTTGAACGTCTTGTTCTCTCTCTCTCTCTCTCTCTCTCTCTCTCTCGGTCTCCTCATTCACTGTGGTGCACCCAGTTTTGGAAATGTTCTAGTTGGTCGTTGGTGAATTTTCTTCGTTTTTTTGCCATTGCTATTTTTTTTCGCATTTTTTCATTTCAATCTTCTTTTTTCCCCTATATGTTGGCTCCAACATTTCTCAGCGATTTCAATTCATATCATCTTGTGTACTGTGTGCGGTGACAAAAGATCGCACACATGTTAAACACAATTCGTTCGTCAGCGATAACATTTTGCCAGTCATTCATTCGATTCAAATAAATAAATAAAAAGTTTCATTGCGGTGAATGACGACAACAATCTCATTCAATCGTTCATGCGTTCGCAAGCTTTGTGGAGGCAATTTTCAAATTGCGTTGTTTCTTCTTTGTTCAACAACGAATCCATATTCATGCCAATTTTGAAGGTGGCAAACTTGTATACAAATGTCCGAAATGCAAAGACCGACTGAACATTGACTTTACCGAAATGAATGAATCTTAATTAAGCCGTAGCCATGTTATTGTTGTTGAAATGTTCAATTTTATAATGGTAATAATTCCCGCACCAGATATGTGTAGGATACCGGTGTGTGTGCGTTTGTATATCCGGCTTGCTGGTCATCGTCGTCCTTGTGAATCCAGCAACATTATAAGATGAGTGCTTAGGGAAGTCTTCGTACATTGAATCAAATGAAAATGGGAAACATACGGCAATAAGACTTCAAAGTTAATAGATTCCAATGATTACCATAAAATAGCCTTTAAAATCCATTTCCTATTGCAGTTTCTTTGTAGCTCCGAATGTTGATCGCAGCAAAAATCACTTTTCGAAATCCATGTGCATTATCACATTTGCACCGAACAGATCAGAGAAAGAGAGAGAATAATTGTGTTTGGAAATGCGAGAGAGAGAGAGAGAGAGAAACGGC